TTTTAATAAAAATAAAAAATAAAATTTTTTAAGAATACAGGTTTACCATGTTTTCAAATAGCCCCTAACTGTTCTTGTTGGGTTTATTTGAAAAGAATTTTTCGGGTTTATATTTTTTTAGGGGAAGGTCGGGGTAGTTGAATCTTTTACTTGGATCTATTGTAAAAAAAATTAATGAGCTTATTTAACTGACTAAAATTAAACGACAGAATCATATTTTAGTTATATCTAATTTAGTTAATTCCTCTTGCTCTTAAAGACCGAGTTAAAAAAATTCCCCACTTGTATTTGTTTTCACCGCTTCCAAATTCCAGTGACTCGCAACTTGACTTCTTAGCTCTGATGGGTGTAAAAATGTTTAATAAGTTGGATAATCCTGAAGATTTTTTTTTTTTTTAAGATGAGGCCTGGTTTTTATTCATGTTAATTAATTTTTTAATTTTTTTAAAATATTTTTTAATTTTGATATATATTAAAACAATATATTTTTATTTTTAATATCAACACATCAAAACAATCTGAAAATATAAAAAAATTATTTAAAAATTATTTTTTAAAATATTTTAAAAACATAAAAATAAACGAGTTCAGTGTATCACGGAAGTTGTCTCAGATGAAACTTTATTTCTAAGAAGAAAAGTATATATATATATATATAAAAAAAAAACATTAGAACCAGTAAAAATTACAATACTCTATGGCCGGGTATTTCTTTCCTCGTTGTTATGCATTTCAGATCGATCAAATTATTATGCAGGTGAACGACACAAAACTGCTGGGCTCCACGCAATATCTTGTTCGAGAAAAATCGAATTCATCCTGTGCCCATGCCCTCACTTTTGGCAATAAGGATGCCTCCATGTCTTGGAGAAGATGGGCAATTTCAATCAAATGAAGGATGCTTAAAAGCAAAGCACTATTGTATAGTGCATGACCAAACGCCTCACCGACAATGAGTTAAAAGGCTAGACAGGAGAAACACTGCCTATGCTATTTTTTAGGGTCTCCTCGCGTGCCATTTTTGTACAAAAACAAATTCCAAAAATTATATCTTGACTATTCAGTATAGATTTTTTTTTGAATGATGGGTCTTCAGATCGATTAGGTTATATATAATTTAAGTAATTTTTTAAAATTTTAATTGATGGAATGTCACCTTGTAATAGAGTTTATTTATAATAACCGTATAATGTTTTCAGGCTCCTAATCTCATATAGAAATATATTAGCTTACTGGCCTGCAGTTATGCTGCGGGTTCTTATAAAAAATAAATTAAATGTTAAAAATATATTTAGGTTATAATAAATTATTTAGTATTATTATTAAATTTGATTTAATAAATTAGTTTTACAACTTTTTATTCTGACTTTTTATCTAGCATGAATTTGAAACTAGTGTGTATGAGAATTATTCTGATATAATCTTATTGACTTGACAAGTTCAAAAACAATCTTGATTGTTAGTAAAAAAACAAGATATTACTTTTAAAAACATGATATTTTTTATTTTAATATTAAAATTATAATATATTAGATCAATTTGGATTTTGCGGTTTAATCCACTAAACCCAAAAAACTACTATAGCCCCCATTAGGTTTAATCCTTTTTTTAAAAAAATTATTTTTTAGTTAATAATATGATAATAAAAATATATACGTGCAAAATTAAGCATTAAATATTGATATATTTATTTTAAATAGTGATAACTTCATGAAAAATAATTTGGAATAAATTATAAAAATTGATTCAAAATTAATCAAGTATTAATTAATGATATTAAAAAAAAATGGAAGAACAAAAATTAAAAAATGAATTTTTTTATAAAATTAGTAAAACAAAAAAAAGAGCTCAATGGAATGAGTCAACTTTAAAATCTCTTTATTTAGCTTCTTATCTAGTCTGAGATTTAAAATTAATTTATATAAGAATTGTCGTGATGATATGATATAATTAATTTAATAAATTGAAAGTAATACAAACAACTGGTATAAAAATAAAAATAGATATTTATAAAAAAAACCAACTAAATATTAAAAAATTTATTTGAGATTATGAAATTTTTATAAAAAAATAAATCAAAATTAATTATAAAAATTAATTTTAAATTAATAAAATATACAAAAATAAAATTGAATAAAAAATAACTTAATTGAAAGGTAGAATCTTAAAAAAAAAGGAAAAAAATGGCATTCCTTCACTGATGATATAAGCAGTGAATGAGCTGAGCCCAATTTTATATTTAGTAAAGTAGGTACTATATAGTATAATGACAACGGCAATGAGTGTTGCTGCAGTTGCCTCTCAACTTCGACTTGTCGTGGCCACTAGGGGCGTAAAGTGCGGACTTAAATTTCAAAGTCTTACTGATCTTCAATTAGCGAGTTGAATACAACCGCAAACAAAAATTTAATCTATTGGCTTGGTTGACGCTTTAAAAGGATGCTTGAAAGTGTATTAACAGTTTTTTTATAGTGTTTTTATTTCAAAATAAATTAAAATAATATTTTTTATTTTTTTAAAATTATTTTTATATTACAACATCGAAATAATATAAAAAATAGATTTAAAATAAAAAAATTCTATTTTTTTTTTAAATATTTTCAAAACCCAATACCAAACACTGCGATCAACATTCATGACGGCAATCCCACTCGGGAAATATATTACAAGGCTCGGCTCTCGAGAACAACTGCCGTATAGCCCATCCAATATGGAAGCGATTCGATTGCGATTTCCATAGAAAATTAGGAATCCATAACAGGTATCGCTTCTGGTTTCTTCCTGTTGCACACGGAGCTTTGAAATACATAACAGAATACACGATGAACCTTTGTGTATTCTTGAATATATAAAAATTAGGTTTTTCAGGTTGAGTTGAATGACTTAGCTATGCCTTTGTGATTTGCTTAAAAAAATAATTTTTCTGATAAACAGAGAACTCTTCTATTCTTCTATAAACATGTAGAAAACATAAAAGTTAAATTCAGAGATCGCATATCTAGCTAGCCTATAAATTGCATGGTCTAGCCTGGTTTGACATGGTTTTCAACGATGTAGCTTTGGTTGGATTTGGCTTGCTTCTATATATATATTTTTTAATTAATATAAGTGTTTGGATTAATTTATTTTTATGATTTTTTTTAGATTAACGTGGGTGTTCGGGCCAGCTTGCGCTCACCACGACTAATCCCACAGGTCCTGAAGTTAACGACCATGTAAGCCTCCAGTGGCCATCATATGAGCAACCAAGGATTCGAATCTGAGACTACAGAGGGAATAAACCCCTTAATCCCAAATCTTTACCACTTGATCACTACCTAAATAGTTTATTTTTATAATTTTTAAGGAGCAAACCCCTTAATCCTAAATCTTTACAAATGGTTTATTTTTATGATTTTTAGTTAGCTTTTTTATGGTTTCTAGCCAACTTTCATGGTTGTACCAATTCCGAATTGTAGGGCCGAGTTGCTTTGTAACCAAGTGTAGACATTGAGATTATGTACTTGGTGGAGCAACTGGGGACCAAGCTAGTCCTTCATCGGAGAAAAACATTGTGCCTGTCGGTGCTATCCATGTTTTCTGTGTATAGAAATAAATCATGGGAATGCCATGTTGCTTATTGGTGGATACATCAAGTTATCTGTTATGCATGTTATTGATGATAATTTATCATTAATTTTTATTTTTTATATATATAAAAAATTATATATACATGAAAAAATTGGATGAACAGTCCATGGAACCCATCTCAACATGGATGTTGATGGATTTTAAGCTGAAAAAATATATTTTTTCTTTTCAGAGAAAGTTCTTTTCATTTTTTGTTTTTTCTCGCATCATCAGTTACTATCGGCAGCAAGTGAAACTTCAACCACTCAATTAATTGAGAAATACTATCAGTTGGTTCAAAATGGAAAGGTTTTTTTTTTTTTTTCAGACCATACATGCATTCACACCTTCGCAAAAAATGATTACTAAAAGAAGAAGAAGGAACCAAGAGCCAACAAGCTGGAAATGAAGATTGGAGCATGAAAGCAACGTGAGATATCCCGACCTTTTCATAAATTGCATGTTCTCTTTCTAGTTTGCAGTTCCGCCTTTCCTTCAGCTCCTCCGAGCACTGATCTAGTGGCGTGAAGAGAGGATCCTGGTAGCGGTGCCACAAGCAATCAGCTCATTGTACATCAGAAAGTGGAAATAAGAAAAGAGGGGGCCAGATGTCACGAGAACCGCAGGGCATTTGCTTAAGCATAGACTGTTTACCCACGGAACTACCCAGGATTGTTACTATATTGTTTTATTATTGGATTTTCCACAGCGTATAATCGCTTAGATCTTTCCCGGATGGCGACGATGTAGCCTACATTTGTTCTCGCAACATGAACACTCATCCATTATAATTCAAGCATAACAATCCAGCCACCGTTTTGGGATCACCCGACATTCCAAAGCCCTTTTCACGTGCCATTGACACATTCCATTCTTGTCAATCAGTCAAGGGTGGTGATTTCCCAGTAAAGCCTCTACTCCGCCGTGTTGCTCAATCTTAAATTAGGCACCAGGGAGCTGATTAATTTACAGATCACCGCAAAGGGAAATCTCATTATTTAAACTTTGGTTCTTATAATCTGAAGGAAAAAGCATTTGGTTTTTTTTTGGCAGGAGATAATGTGCTCGCAAAGTCTTTACAAAAGGTGATTTTCCAAGTAATTAAAATATGAATATCGTCTATAATCTTATGGATTTATTCTCTCTTTTTTCTCTTCAATTTATCTAAAAAAAATTCAACTTCCATCCATATCAGGGTACGGGTAAAAACGCAAAAAGGGACCCGCAACGTAAAATCAAAATGATAAGTGTTTGCTCCACCAGGAGAAGGGGAAGATGCAATCAGCCTCTATCCCCTCCTTAATCTATGCTTCTTTAATTTAATTTTTATTATCATTATGTTTTTTTTTTTTTTTTCCAAATTGGTTGAGATGAGCTCAAGTGCTTAAACCTCTTTTGAGAACCGTAAACAAAGTGAATTAACGACGACTAAAACTACGACTCCTTGCTACCATAGCCGATCTGTCTCTCCCAGAAAGCACTTTTCATCTTCCTTTAAATGGCCACATTGCTCCTTCATTAATCACTTCTTCTTTTAAATCTTTAGAGAGAGATAGAGAGAGAGGGAGGGAGGGAAAATAATGATATAAAAAGGGAAGAAAAGGTAGCAAAGAAGAAGAAGATGCAGATGCGGAGATGGAAGGCGGTGGGGTTGATGAGGAGGATACTATCATGCGCCATATGTACAATAGCAATGGTGTCACTCCTCTCCGTACACTTGCACGTATTCCCTCGTCACTCTAAACTCCCTGATCCTTACAAGCTTCCTAATCCCGTAAGTAATGCTAAAAAAAATACCTCTCTCTGTTTTTTCCTTCGTTTTTTAGCGTAGAAAATTAGGGTTTATTATGTTAATCTGTGCCTCGTGTGTTTGATAGGTATCTCAGTCTGCTTATTTTAGTAGGAAGTGCCAAATGTTACTGCTTATTTTAGTAGGAAGTGCCAAATGTGATTTATTTTTTGGGTTTGGGATGGCAACTAACTACCTTAGTTTTTAGTCCTTTTGGAAATAATAATAATAATATATGTAGCAAATTGAAATCAGAGACTAGATATTGGGCAATGAGCAAGAACAGAGGTGGACAAGTGAGTTCACTCCTCCCAATGTGTTCCTAGGCCCTCTCATCCCAACAGGTAGGTCTTATTATATGACCTTCATTCCATTACGTTGTTTGCCAGTTCAAACGGAATTATGGTGTACTTTTTTTTTCTTTCTTGAACACTGATTCATTAGAGAGAGAAAATGGTGCAAAAACAATATGGGATTTATCAGTGGATTGAGTGTCGTAAGAGTTTTATGTTCCTCTAAGCATGCGTCTTTCATGTCTTCACCACTTAAGACTTGACAGTTTCCGGTTTGGCGTACGAATTGTCCCAGACTATGGAAGCCTGTGCCAAATCGTGATTATATGCCTTGCACTCAACCTACTCCAAACTATACCGGTAAGTTTTAGTTTTTATTTTTATTCTTATTTGCATCTTTTCAAGACAATTTGCTTATTCCCTCATTCCTGCTTTGCCTATTGTTTCTCAGCTCCTCCAGAATCGCGAGGTTATCTCTTAGCGCATACAAATGGTGGGCTCAACCAGATGCGAGCTGGGGTACTTCTCTACTGTCCATCTCTGTGTTAAATACACTGTGTTTGAGATTACTGAAATTGTTTTAGTTACTATCTTCCCAAATTCTTTACTATTTCCATCTTATTCTGGAAATGCGCATGTGATTGTGCCGTGCTCTCATATTGGCAACAATACTCCGTATTTTTTTCTTAATTGATTCTTTGTTTTTAATTTTTAACTGGGATTGACAATAGGTCTTTCTTGAATTGCAGATATGTGATATGGTAGCTATTGCGCGTATCATAAATGCTACTCTTGTTGTTCCAGAACTAGATAAAAAGTCGTATTGGCAAGATTCCAGGTCATTTTAGTTCTGTGAGATTTTTACGTTGTCGGCCCCTCTCATGTCGTGATGCCATAGTTTCTTTTCTTCTCTTTTTTTATTGTCTTGCAGCAACTTTTCAGATGTCTTCAATGAAGATCATTTCATCAACGCTTTAGCTAATGATGTAAAAGTCATAAAAAAGCTCCCCATGGAAATGGGTGGTGCTACAAAAGCAGAAAAATATTTTAAAAGCTGGTCTGGTATGGACTATTACCAGGGGGAGATAGCAAGCATGTGGGCTGATTATAAGGTATATCAATTAGAAAGCTCAGTTTCACCTAGTTATGAGATATTTATGATTTCCATCTGTTGGTTTTACTCTCATTTATTATTGAAATTCTAACACAGTTTCCCAACGTAAATTTGTTTTCGCAGGTTATTCTGGCTGCCAAGACTGACTCTCGACTAGCAAATAACAATCTCCCTGCTGATATTCAGAAGCTGCGTTGCCGTGCCTGTTATGAAGCCCTCTGTTTGGCACCTCAAATTGAAGCGATGGGAAAGGTGAAAATATGATTCTTGTATGTGCAATGACTGTTCAATATGATTTTAACTTGCATGGTCAGTGTAGTTGTTGGTGGACCGCATGAGATCATATGGCACTTACATTGCTCTGCACTTACGATATGAGAAGGACATTCTTGCCTTCACTGGATGCACACATGGTTTATCTCCTGCTCAAGCAGATGAACTAAAAAAGATCAGGTAATTTTGCTGCCATTATGTGATAGCAAATTCAATTAAGAGCTCAGGTTTTCTGCTTAAGTAATTTTATCTGTGACTTGCAGAGACGTAAATGATGAGTGGAAAGTGAAGGATATTGATCCCAGGGAGCAAAGATCTAAAGGTTTTTGCCCCTTGACTCCAAAGGAGGCTGCAATATTTCTATCTGCTCTTGGCTATCCATCAAATACCCCTATATACATTGCTGCGGGAGAGATATATGGAGGTGATTCATATATGGATGATCTTCGATCCCGGTATCCTATGTTAATGAGCAAGGTGCGTGTTTCAAATGCCTTGCTTTGAGTACAATGCTAAACTTGACACTTCAGTAAAAAACCATAAGGTTGAGAAAAGAAAAAAATTTAACACCCACATCTGAGTATTCAACCTAATCCACGTTCACAACTAATGATGAGTACAATTGCTTTCACTGATGTTGCCTTGTGCATTTTGTATGCTGTTTTTGTGTTCATCGTTTTTTGTGGATAATCAAAATTGTAGTTTATTTTAAAAAGATTGAGGATCCCACGTAAATACTTACACCATTCATCATATAGGCTATAATTTTTGGAATTTAGTGTTTGTAATCAATTGCTTGCATTGATTTAGCCTTGTAAATTTTGTATGCTGTTTTCATGTTCATCTTTTTTGTATGTGTGAATAATCAAAATAGTAGTTTATTTTAGAAAGATTATGAGAGGATCCCGGTTGTATACTTAAAACCGTAATTTCTTGGAATTTAGTGCTTGTAATCAAGCTCTCTACGAGTCAGACAAATTCCCTTCCCGTTCTTTCTCTATGTCATTTCGTTGCCAATCACATGCATGCTAAGTGTGCATGGATACTTTGTGCTCGCATGAAGACTAATTTAACTGTAAACAGAGCTGCCAAATTTCCAAGCAAGTTGCTCTATGACAAGCATCTTCTTCAAACATCTTGCAGGAAAAATTGGCATCTATTGAGGAGCTTGAACCATTTGTCAATCATTCGACTCAGCTGGCTGCGCTTGATTATATATTATCTGTTGAAAGTGACATATTCATGCCGACATACTCGGGAAATATGGCAAGGGCTGTAGAAGGCCATCGTCGTTTTCTTGGACATAGAAGAACAATTTCCCCAGACAAGTATAAGATATTCTTGTCTATTTTTTTAGCTTTATTTCGATCAATTTACTTGCACTAAGCATCTTCTTTTTGTCCATTAGGAAAGCCCTTGTTCGTCTGTTTGATAAAATAGAGGAAGGAATGAAGAAAGAAGGCAAACTTTTATCAGACAAGGTCATTGAAAGGCACAAAAAACGGTATGTATTTTTAAGCACCCTGTAATCATATTTAGTACCCATAAACCTCTCCACTAGTTGAGGTGCCCACAGGCACTGCACGCCTAGGAGAAGAGGTGAGGTCCTCTTAACACTGCGCAGCTGCAAGTTACCGTGGCACTGCAGGAAACTAATGCTTGTTTGGTGAGATTTTGAGGGTATCGTCTATGGCCATATACTGGTCAAGTCAGCGTTCTATTGAGATTTTGGAATAGAATCCACTAATTTAAATTTAAACTTCGTTTCTCATAATGGTCGCACAGGCAAGGCTCCCCAAGGAAGAGGAAAGGCCCTATTCCAGGAACCAAGGGCACGGATAGATTTCGTTCAGAAGAACCTTTTTATGTAAATCCTTTACCAGATTGTTTGTGTGCGCAATCCCGGAATCAGAACACCTCTGTGATAATCAGGTAGTTTAGATGCTGAAGAACAATTGTCTTCGGAAAAAGATCTGTGTCAAGATAGCGGCAAATTTAATCAGTCACTGTCCGCTGATAGATACTTCAAGCTGGTTATGCCCAGCCACATAGTTAGGTAAGTGTATATCTGGAGTTTAGGTAAGCGGGCGTACATGAAGCTACAGATCATATGAACGGAAAGCGAGGTAAATTTAAAATACTGAGATTAGAAGTTAATTAGGGGATACCATCCATCATCACTGAATCTCTAGAGCAACGTTTTCTCTAATGTATGTATCGTCTCCCAGTGCAATAAAAATGAAAAAATTACTTCATTTCTTCTCCTTCATCGCGATTGTCACCAAATGGCAAACCAAGACTCTGTTCTCAATGTGTGCAATGATTTCTTAGGAACCCAAGATCATTTTCGTTTTTCTGTAATGTGCAGAGACTACATTATTGCAAAAGCCAGGCGAGATAATGGTTGAGATGATGGTTGCTAGCTCCGCCAGTTCAGCCCAGTGCGTCTTCTTGTAAATTAATGGCTCTATTGGCTATAATCTCCAAATTCAGCAACAGAAACCATTTTCATTAAGAGAGAAAATTAGAGTCTCTCCCTGAGGACGAATGTTGTCATCAAGAATGATTACATCCAACGCACCTCTTTTTCATATTTCACGTGCTTCTATTAAAGGGCAAGAAAATTCAATTTCAATGAAGTAGAAACTATCGAGGCCTTCATTAAATTTAGGCACCCTGACAACTCACCAAGACAGCGTGTCTTTTATTTCCTTTCACCCTTTCCATTCTTCTCCTTTGAATGCCAAATGCAGAAACATTAAAAAGTGTCATCAAAATTCATCCCGCCATAAAAATCAAATATTGCAAACAGATACATTTTTCCTAAGTGGATTTAGGAGTTATAAGCTCCAGCCCTCCCATGAACGCCCTCAATGGCCCAGGGATAATAACAGAGCCATCTTCTTGCTGGTAGTTTTCCAGCAGACACACGATCATCCTAGGAACTGCACAGGCCGTTGCATTTAATGTGTGCACAAACTGTGTTGGAGCAAGGCTGCCTTTGCCCTTTTTAGGAGGGGCTGGTGTAGGTTCTGATGGACGGTACCGGATCCCTAGTCGGCGACTTTGATAGTCGATGCAATTTGAGGCACTAGATATCTGCTCAAGAATGAAATCATGTGAGAGAATGCTTGTTATTGCAAAGTCAATGACTATGCAAAAGCAAAAACCATGGTCCACGGGAAATCAACAATGGAGGAGAAAAGAGTGCAATTGTCAAATAAGTTTCAATACCTCACCATACCGTCCTAAACCAGGCATCCATGCCTCCACATCAAATTTGCGGTAAGCAGGTGCACCTAAATCCCCAGAGGCCATATCCAAAGTTCTGCCAGAAAAAAGGAAACCCAAAGGTCATCACAAATACAAAGAAGGAAAACTGTAAAACAAATCATCAGAAGGTTGGTAAGAGGGCCCACTTATAATGTAACCCTAGGGCAGAAAAGAGGTCTTCTTCAATTTTGATAAGCTCCTCATGGTAAGACTCACTCTCCTCTGGTCGGCACAAAACAAACATCTCCACCTTGCTGAACTGGTGAACTCGGTAAAGACCCCTGTGCAAATTTTGCAAACATTATCAGTTTGTGCATTGAAGCAGCAAGTATTATGATTTCCAAGCACAAGACCGTGGACATCATAAAGAAAAAGCATGATCATTGGACTTTTCCACTTGTAGGGAAACTAAACAGTTCTTACTACTGGACTGCAGTTATCAACAATTAGCATGGACATTAGTTGAATAAACACTGATGCTCCTGGATATAGGAATTCCACCATGAAAAATGGAGTATTGATATAAGACAATTTGTATCTATTCAAGGTATCAGACAGCTGTCATACAAATGAATAGAGCCCAGACAACATACCTTGTTGCCATGCCTGCAGCACCAGCCTCTGTACGGAAGCAATGGGAAAATGCCACATACTTTAATGGCAACTGTGTCTCAGCAAGGATAGCATCCATGTGAATTCCTCCCACAGGAATCTCTGCAGTGCCAATGAGGCATTGATCGCTACCCTCGATAGAGTATACCTGTTAATTGTCTGGCATAAGTATCAACAGATCATTATAACTAATTGTGATGCTCTGAAATAACACCAGCTCCAAGAAACCTCAGGACAAAGAAACTGAATTTCTTCCACACCAAACCAATGTCCTTAAGCTTGTGGTACAGAAAATTAAAATGGGAGATGCCCCCAGTAATTTAGCGCTCCATCAGGGATATTGTCATGAAGTTACCACTTCATAGCCAAAATGTTTTAAATGAGAGCATTGTTACAGCTTCATATATGACTATCTGTGTTAAGTTGAATTTTTTTTTATAAATGACTTCTAACACAATTTGGAAACAGCAGTAAAAATAAAATCAACTACAAACCTGAGTATTATCACCACGAGGTTGGAATCCACATTTCTCAACAACAGAGGATCTAACAAGTTCTGGAGTTGTTAGAGGTGTAAATCCCTTTTTCATAACTTCTGAGAGAGTCCAGTTGACAAGGGCCATCTCCAGCATAACTGCTTCATTCTTCAGATAGTAGAATTTTGAACCGCTGACCTGCATGGCCGAGCAAAATACAAAATGCATGTGACAAAATTAGCCAAATCATCTTTCCTTGTCAGCAGGAAGCCCTAGCTATTGAAATCTTTACTTGGGGATTGCATTAAGGTCTGATATAAGAGCAAGTGACAATCTTACGATCTAGGGACAAGCCATTACAGTGACTTGCAAGTAGGGACTCAATCACGATTAAAAGTTCTAATTTAATTAAATGCTAGTGAATGTCTAACAGTTCATGTCTTTATTCTTTATTCTTCTTCTTTTTTTGTTAGTGAAACATAGTACCACTGCACTTAATCAACATGACCTTTTCTTTCAAAAAAACATAGTTCGGTTAAATTGTCCATCAAAAGACCATTCATTCCTGGTGGCATTTAAACTGAAAAAGCTCCCATGAAGAGTTTAAACTAGAGAAGCTCCCATGAAAGCATGCAACAATGGGAGGAAAAACTTCGGTGATCTAAATTAAGCAGAGGATTACCTCTGCTGCTGCATCAAAATCAAAGAGATCTAGTTCTTTCCCAAGTTGAAGGTGATCCTTGACAGGAAAGCCAAAGTCACGTGGAGTACCTGCCTATAAGAGCACGAGAAAATAACTTAAACTTGTAACATGTCCAGCATCATCCCCTCCCTCAAACATACTCTCAAACACACGCTTTGCTAACAACATAATTGTGAACGGATTATGCTATGATCTCATGAAACATCACAGGTACAAACAATGGCGTACTTGTAACTGGATTCAACTTCTTGGTCTTTAGGTTACTAAGAGCAATTGCTGTCTTCGTGTTTTGTTTTATGCAACATTTTCCTTATGAAATAAAAGGAGGCAGCTGAAAAAATTACATACCATCTTTCTCACAGTTGAACTTTCTTCTCCTCCAATCGGAACAAGGGGGTGAGTCAAGTTAGGTATACACTGTGCTTCCAGCTGAAGCTCATCTGTAAGTTTAACCAGATCTTCTTCCAAAGTTGCAAGCCCTTCTTTTAGGTTCTTTCCTAAAGAAAAAAAAAAGGATATTCACACAGTCACAAGCAATCAAAAACCAAAAGAACGACAAAAAGCATGACAAATAGTTCAAACCATACCTTCCTCAATCAGTTCTTGACGCTCTGATATCTCTAGCTTTCCCTTCATCTTGTTTGCTACTGCATTCCTTTCCGCACGAAGCCGTTCAACTTCCTGTCATCTGGAATGACAATTAGCTTTTATTTTCTTCTTAAATATTTAGTACGCACACAAACTACAAACTAGTCATGGACATCATCTCTCATCTTTGCTTCAATGGATATAGAAATTAAAGAAAAAACATTTTTTTATCATCAATGTTTAAAAGAAGGTAAGAAATTGATAAAATAAAATAAATCTGACCTTTTGAACAGCCAACATTTTCTCATAGAGCTCAAGAACAAGCTCCAAATTAGCATTTGAGTTCCTGTTCTTTATATTCAAAGCCACCACGTCTTTGTTATCCCTTATCCACTTGAAATCTATTGCCGCTTTCCATTGCGGCTTCACAACTAGAATCATTCAAATAATAAGTAAAATTAACAAAATTACCTTCCTGCTTGGTTCCTGAGAAAAAATGAAGCGAAATGATGTCATGAAAATTTAACACCTTTATTATCCAAGCTTTCCGTTATAGGCGCTGTCTGGACAGCCGTGGCAGAGAGAGCTCTAACCAGAAGCTTAAATGGATTTCTTTGTGGACATATAACATAGTTATGGCGGGAAAACGGGTTTAGGACTAGGGTTTTGGAGATTGGCTTTAAAATGAAACGTGAAGAAGCAGGAATCGCGGCTAACTTTAGGGTTTGTATAGTTGTCCCTCCAAAATGACACTGTAAACCCATGCTGTCCTCTCTCTCTGTTTTCACTCTCTCTCTCTGTTATCTAGCACCTATAAGTACCGAAGAACATTGCTGATGAAGAAGAAGCTTTGGAGGCTAACAATTTTTTGGGACACTTTTATCTTTTAGTTTTTTTTTTTTTTAATTAAACTAATTGGGCCTCCAATTTTAAGCCGGTGTCGAAGTAAACCCAAAAATAGAACGGCGTCGTTTAAATCTGTGAAAATTGTATTTGCTTTTAAGAGGGATCAGTATGGACCAGTAGGAAGTGGGTATTATAGTATCAGGATCCGAGAGGGTAATGAAAATTCGCATCCTAACCGTTCATAAACCCAAAAAAACACAAAATAACTGACCCATTACCGTCAGATGCCGCCATTTGAAAGCATAGTAGCACTCAATCTTGACCGTCCCTCACCCACGTTGCCCTCGTGATGAGCCTCTATAAATAGTCGACAATCCGTAAATCTAACCAAGATTCCTTTCCTCTTCTCGGAGTTTCGGCAAGTCGTTCGAGGTACGGTTTTCCACCTCTCCACCCCCTTGTTTCAGTGGAAATTGTTTTTGTTGTTTCGTGTTAAATCCCATTTCTTTATTGTTCTTGTTGTTTCTACGAGTTCAATTTGGCTCTTTAAATTCACTAATTTTATTTGTTAATAGATGGCTCGTACAAAGCAAACAGCGCGTAAATCTACGGGTGGCAAGGCTCCAAGGAAGCAGCTCGCCACCAAGGCTGCACGCAAGTCAGCACCAACAACAGGAGGCGTGAAGAAGCCACACCGATACAGGCCCGGAACAGTTGCTCTTCGTGAAATCCGCAAGTACCAGAAGAGTACTGAACTGCTCATCAGGAAACTCCCATTCCAGAGGCTTGTTCGTGAAATTGCTCAGGATTTCAAGACTGATTTGAGATTCCAGAGCCATGCTGTTTTGGCTTTGCAAGAGGCAGCTGAAGCTTACCTTGTTGGCTTGTTTGAGGACACTAATCTTTGTGCTATCCATGCCAAGCGTGTTACTATCATGCCTAAGGATATCCAGCTCGCCAGGAGGATTCGTGGTGAGAGGGCTTAGGTGTTGAAAGCAAGCTGTAATTTCTTATTTTATATGTGTGTGATCAATAATGACTTATAGGCACTTCTAAAATGTTTGAAGGTTTGCTGTTGAATTCTCATTAATCTAATAGCATTGACGTTGTTAAACACTCTTGCCTTTCTCTTTTCTTACGAGTTCGTTTACCGAAGAGTGTTCATGACATTTTGGGGTTGCTATGAAATTTTTTAATTAATATTTTTTAGTTTTAAAATTTTATTTTTAATGTCAACTTAAAAGTTTAAATAAATTAAAAATATTTAAAATCTTTTTAAAACAAAAAAACTTTTCTTTTATATATATATATCAAAAGACTGAGCTTAAGCTTAAGCTTATTATACGAGGAGCAGGAGGAGGGTGGGCTGGGTGTGTAATGATTTGGGGGGAGAGTAAATTCTCATTAATCTAATAGCATCCGTGCTTTTTTAAGGAATGCAAAACCGCCTAGTAGCTTATCGATATGAATTTCCTATTGAACTCACTGATTTAGGTAAGGGTTTCCCTGAGAACATACAAGAACTCACTGGTTTAGGTAAGGGATTCCTTGAGAACATGCTTGTCAGCAAAGATATGCCGAGCAACTTACAGGCACCTGCCGCCACCCCTCTGCTCGTGATTCTAAGCGATGAGCCACCCAATAACAAACTAAGATTGGGCTCAAAGTGGCATTTACTAACGGAGTCAGGTCACGGGAACAGAACTCTGCTGCAAATTGACTTGAAAGACCCAGCGGTGATAGTAGAAGCTGCAGCAATGATTCATGGCAGGGAATGCTTGAATGTTTCAATTTACAAGCCAGCAATCCATTTAGATATTTTTTATGTTTTAAAAAAAATTAAAAAAAAATATTTTTTTATTGATTTTAAATTTAAAAAAATTAAAAAAATTTATTTTTTTATTGATTTTAAATTAATTTTTTTAGTGTTTTAAATATTTAATGTAATGATATAAAAAAATCATTTTTAAAAAATAATAAAAATATTATTTTAATATATTTTTAAATAATAAAGCCCCGCAATCAGATTCCTCATCTGTGAATAACAAAGCAGAACCAGAGTAATACTACCTGCAGGTCCCGATAACAAGACCAAAATGATGTGTTTATCGCTGCCTAAATTAAAAAATATGATCTGTAGGTGCAAAAAAGGTGCTGGGCATCCATGTTTGTGTCTGATATCCAAAACAAGGCCAATTCAAAGCCTACTGAGAGCCTCCTAAGGACTAAATTCATGTTAGAGCAAGGAAGGGTCAAGCAACTGATAGCCATAGCCTTGTTGAAAGAGTGAGAATTACAAGTCAATTGGAGTAATTTCCAGATTAGCATTAACACTGGTTAATTAGCATGTTGTCAGGTTCGAAGAGAGATAATTCGTTTATAATTAGCAAACGAATGAAGCTTCACCAACATCTTGTGCTTGGTTGCAATAAGGTGTGTTGTAACTTTCAGAATTCGAATACATTAGCTTCAAGAACATGAATTTTTAATTGCTAAAATAAGGTTTGTGTGTCCATGTTAGGTCACAGGAAAGGCCCTTATGCTTGATGAAATCATAAATTACGTGCAGTCATTGCAACTGCAAGTTGAGGTAAATTAATATATATTTGTGGAAATGAACAATCCTCATCTTGTTTGAAAATTGAAGCTCCTTGCCTAATCAGTGTCCAAGAAAACAGCCAGCCAGCATTGTATAATCTTTTCGTTTCTTCAATTCGGGGTTTTCTATTTGCAAACAAATCTTGTTTATTTTCCTAGGTTCCGCGCAAGGCAGCCCCAACAACAGGAGGGGTGAAGAAGCCCCACAGATACAGACCTGGAACTGATGCTCTTCATGAAATTCACAAGTACCAGAAGACTACTGAGCTCCTCATCAGAAAACTCCCATTCCAGAGACTTTCACAGAATTTCAAGGCTGATTTCCGGTTTCAGAGCCAGGCTGTTTTGGCCTTGCCGGAGGCAGCTGAAGCATGCCCTGTTGGATTGTTTGAGGATACTAATCTTAGTGCAATCCATGTCATGCGTGTTTCTATCATGTCCAGGGATGCTCAGCTTCCCAGGTGAACCCGTGGTAAAAAAAACATAAAACCTGTGGGTTTTCACTTTAGGATTTTTCTCTTGTTTTTTACCTTTTCTTTCGGTTTTTTGTCATTTTTTATCAGTAGAACAGACAAATCTTTTATAAGACTGATGCGTCAGGACGTGTTTAGGGCATAGCATGGGTGGAGGTATTAAATTCTCTTTAATCTAATAATGATGGTTGTTATTTGTCAATGCTTTCTTTTGGTGATTGCAGTGAACTTTTAAATGATATTTTTAAAAAATATTTAAAATATATATATATATATATATTAACATATTTTTCTTTTCATTATCAAAACATTAAATCATAAAATAAATATTAAAAAATTATTAATTTAATTTTTTTAAAAACAAACATACTTTTAAAAAACATCTCAAATGACCTCATTACTTGTAATTGAACTGCTCGTAGCGCAAATAATCAATAAAGAGCTATGGCTTTACTTGTAGTTTGGTATTTTAATTATGGGTAATATTTACACGTGATTATAATTTTTTTATTTGGTTAAGTCAAAACTATATTTTTTTTTATAAGACTCACTTTCATGTTTACAGGAAGCAACTCTTAGTTGCTTGTTGCGTAGAGAAAACCCACTAAATAGTGAAAGTATGTTTTATTATTCTGGTTGCACTAAATCAGGTTTAAAATTAAAAATATATTGAATTGGGTCTAATTTAATAAAATAAAAAATATTTTTTTATTTTTAATTATATTTTATTCAAAAAACTAGTTTTAAATATTATTCAATGACATAAAATAAATTACATAGAAATCACTTAATAACATAACATTTATAAAATTTAATAGCAATTTCAATTTTGTTCTTAATTATATTTTACCTGATATAATTATACTCTTAAAAAACTTATAAAAACTATAATCCATATCAGATGTATTTTATTTGATAGTTAAATAAAACAATAAAAAATATTTTATATAAAGTATTATTTATTTCATGATGTAATAGTAATTGTTAAATCTACAATATTTAAATTAAAAACCACCAATATTAATATATATTTTTTAAAATTATTTTATAACCTTAATTTTAAAAACATTCTTAATAAAATATATTAAATTATTTTTTATTCAATCTCAATTTCAATCATAATTTTAATCAAACATATACTTTTACAAATTAATTTTAACTATAAATACTTTTTATAAAATAATTTTTTTAAATTACAACCATAATAATTATCAAAATATCGTCCCATTTTTAATAAAGTAATCAGAAATCAAACTTCTCTGACCTGGATAAGGGTCCCTGCGAGATGAGCTGATGCATAATTATCAGATGCTGATTCCATCAGCAGAAAAATGTTCTCTGACCTGGATAAGGGTCCCTGCGAGATGAGCTGATGCATAATTATCAGATGCCGATTCCATCAGCAGAAAAATGAAGTGACATTTTAAACCACTTAGCAACAGATCTATATACGAGAATCCGATTCGACTTTGCAATTTTTTTGTTTGATGGATGTACATAAAACTTTTAAGCAGAATAAAGCAGCAGCACAGCACCAAACCATAAACTTGATAGGCGAAATCCCGCAGGCAATGTCTTTCTTGAGTAATCGAAGGGAAGTATGTGTTATTAATATCCAATTCAAGATTCTTTTGGGTTTTAAACTGTAATGAGTATCTGTTACATAACAGTTGAAGCAGAAAAGAAACGATGGGAAAAAGTAAGCTCCAACTTAAGATGGCAATAAGCCTCGCAAGCAACACATTCTTCGTGTTCAGACTTGAGCTTATTTCTAATAAACAAGACAAAATTTCTTATTAACTTACTGACTCGGAAAGCACATTCCGTGAGAAAAACACCTCTCATTAAAGGTACTAACTTGTTGATGGAAACTTCGATTTTGCAGCAGAAAACAAACTGCATGGCAGTCTTCAAACAGGTACCTCCTACAGAGGACCCGGAAATGTGCCATTCTCCCTTTGCTCATTCCATCTCTCTACCTGCCACACGATAACAAACCAAAATTAGGCTTACATAGCATTAATATAACATGTCAGGTGACAGACAAGAACGTAGATGCCATTTCAACCATAAAATTAGTATTATGATCTGCAGCAGTGATTCATGGTTGGGGAATGCTCGGCTCAATAACCATCTAAAAAGCCAGCATCACTATGCAACCCCAAGCATAAAAGAGAAGCTTAAGCATAGTAGCCAAAAATGAGATGCCTCGTGAGCAAAGCACTGCTACCAGAATGATCAAGGAGAGAATTTGCGAGTGGCACTTATTGAAGCGCTTACTGCCTAGATTAAACAAAACAAAACATGGATTTGTAGATGATGTTGACTGACAGTGATGGAGTTGGCTGCTGTCTGATAGGGACTTTTATGGAATATAAGCCTGTTTAAGTATATGATTTAGATAAGTATTCAGTGCTACACTGCGGGTTGACATTATTTATTTCTAGAGTAAAAAAAAATATCATTATGATATATGCGTTTCCAAAAAAACAAAAAAAAAACTGAGAATCAAGTCACTGATTGAATAATAAGCTCAATTAATTTTAAAAAAATTATAAAAAGCTCAGTTAATTTTAAAAAAAAAATTATAACAGTAAATAAAATGAAAAAAAATGATAGATAAAAAGATCAAAAAAATTGATCTAAACCCATCTGGATTAGAATGCCAAATATGCAATTTAGTCATAATATTAGGATAACCTTATCAAAAATAAATTAAATAAAATCATAAAACTCATACATATATTAAAAAAAAACTAATGTTGAAGGCCAAAACTAAAAAAATTGCATTTAAAAGAAAACAACTAATAATAAAAATCTAAGTCAAATCAGGTTAACTCCTAACCCCACAATCATAACCATAAGATTAAGATAATATAGAAAGAAAAACTAAAATAAAAAGTAAGAAAATCAATTATCAATTAATCAAATATTGAATAATAAAATTGATTTTTTTAAAAAAAAATCAAATGTTGAAGGATCTCATCTGACAAACAAAATTAAAAAAAATTAAATGAGATCATAATAACCCTATAAAAAATAAAATTAAAAAATATGAAGCTCAATTTATAGCAAACAAAATATTAAATGACGAGATTGAAAATAAAAATATAATTAAAAAAAACTCAACTCGAGATCACTCAAGTTAGCATACAAAATCTACGATTTAGTTGTGATACTAGGTAACCTCATCAAAAACAAATTCAATAAAGTTATAAAGCTTATTTATCAAACAACTCAATATTAAACGGTGAGATAACCCAACTGATTTCAAAAGCAATAAAAAATCCAATAAAAAAATAACATAGCTAATTTCTAATTCAATAAATGTTGAAAGATGGAAAAAAAAAATATGAGCTAAAAACAAGTAAATTCAGATAAATCTTCTATACCTGAGATAATCTCTCAAATTCACAATTTGTGAAATCCTAGACTTATGTTCAATCAAAAAGTTCAATTCTCAACCAATTTAATATTAAAGGATGAAACAATAAAAAAACAGTTTAAAAAAGTTATCAAAGTAAAAAAAATCAATAAAAAAATTAAAGATCAAATCTGATAAAAAACAAACAAAGAGTTATGAAATCGCAAAAAAAAAATTAATTTTAAAAATTATCACAAAAAACAAATGACAATAAAAAAAATAACAATAAAATATAACGTATAAGAAAATTAAAGAAGGTTGAATTAAAAAGAAATTCAATTTTATAAATTATTTTATATAAAAAAAAGGATCAAATCTTAAAATAAAAATAAAATAAAGGGCTGTTTTCAAATTTTAAAAGGCCGGAAACGCAAAATGACGAGAGATGGGGAAAAAGCTATTGGTGCGAAACCAAGGGTCCATAGGCCATTCACGCAACTACATCATGGAGGAGTCGCCATGAAGGCAACGTTTGGTTACTTAATGACACCATAAAAGGGTTGCTCATTTGCAGCAACACCGGCATCAAATAAATTTTTTTAATAATATTTATATTTATTAAATTACCAAATAAATCCTAAGTGAAACTAACTATAACAATATAAGGACAAGAATGCCCTTGGATAACAACTTAAGATTTTTTTATTTTAAAGGTAATTAAATCACTTCACTATGCTTAAAAAATTACAAAGACAAAAAAAATCCTCTAAGTAAGTTTAATATGTTTTTTAAGGATAATTAAGTTCTTTTAGTGTAAAAAAAGAAAAGCGATCAGACCTACTTGTTCGAATACATTTATAAATGACCAAGACATGTTACCCCTGATACAAAGGCTGTTGGGTTTTTTAGAATGGCAAAATAGCCATATCTATAGTGAACTTGCGACTTGGTGCATCTGAATGGCTGATGACTTTTAGTTTATTCATTTATTTATTTAATTTGATGCGCCTGTTTACGATGAGGGAAACGCCATTGTCTTTTGCATGACAGCAAGTCATGTTGACATAAAAAAGATAGAAAGCCTGACTAAAAGTGTAAAGATGAACCTTATAGAGTCCCTAAAGGTAAAACCCTGAATGCCAGGTGCCGGGGGTTTAAAATGTGATGAGAGCAATGATTTTCAGGACGCTTAGCACACAAATTGGGACACCAATTGACATGAAATTTGGAGTTCAAAAATTTCATCCTGGATAGCAGATTCAAAGCTAATGCTCAATCAGATCAACAAAGGAGTCAACAGTGTGGATTTCAATGCACCTTTGGACAGACAAATCTGGAGTTGAGCAGAGGACTTGGTTGTGAGAGCACAGTATATTAATCTTAAAGGTGATGTTTACGCTCATCCAGTTGAAAACTAAGATTATGTCAAGACTTTAGATTTTTCTTTCTTCAACATCCATGACATGATGGTGATATCCACATAACATGAAGATTCTTAACCTAAAGACTTCTATGCTAGATATACATTATTCGACATGTAAGAGCATTAAACAGCTTTTGAACAGCCTGTGCGGTTGAAAGTAAAAAATAATATCATACTCCTTAGTATATTGAAGATCTCAGATATACGTACCCATTCACTAGGGCAGAGAGAACGATAATATTTGGCAAACTTATCACACTCTGAAGCACCTTCACCCTTGGCAGCTACGCACCTGGAGAAAATCACAAGAATCAATGTTTTATCTTGGAAGAAAGAGCCAATGTCAAGTCGGAAAAACAGTGACAAAAAAAAAAAGATAACGTGATAAAAAAAAAAAGAAGCATCGGCAAGGTTTCACTCACCGATGATATTCAATGTATCTGGTAAAGCAGTGCCTTGTTTGATTTG